GGCTCCTGACACCGCGAGGATCGTTCGAGCTTGAAAGATCGGCCCTTTCCCAAACGTCAGATCGTTTAACCTCGACCGATTCTGGGTCGCCATCGGCGTTCAAAGTTGAACGCGGGCAGCGAGGTCGCAGCCAGGATGTGGAGGATGAGGAGGATGAGGGTTGAGGAGGAGGAGGAGGAGGAGGAGGAGGAGGAGGAGGAGGAGGAGGAGGAGGAGGGCTTTCTGGGGGCGCGAGGGTGCCAAAACCCAAGCGCCCGGGGGCCGCTGCTGCCGCCCCGCACTCCGTGATCGGGGGGCCCCCCCAGGCGGGCCCGCACCAGAGGCCACTCCGGCGCAGGGCCACTCCCGCGTGCAGTACTGGCGGGGGAGGTGCGCCAAGACGTGCGACGTATCGTGGCTTTTCCAGCGCGAGGCCCCAGAAGCTCCAATCCTTGCCCCGGGACCGGCTTTGCCTCCCGCGAGTCGCTTTCTGACGCTCCCGAGGCCCGGCGAGGGCCCCCCGAGGCCGAGGATGGCCAACAACCCCCCCGTTCCGCGATGTTACCTAACAGCGAAGACTGATAGGTTTCTAGTTACCTAACAGCGAAGACTGATAGGATAGGTTTCTAGTGGACTCAAAAGAGAACATCTTGACGCTCCAGGGGGGTCTGGGCGGGATCCGGACAGATCCGGACAAAAGCCCCAAGAACCCTTAGGAATCCTTAGGAATCCTTGAGAATCCATTCCCAGACCACCATTCCCAGGCCACATTTTGAATACCCGGAGCCAACTGTAGGCCACTTCGTGTTGTTCGTGTTCCAAGAACACCATTCCCAGGCCACAGTTTGAGTGCCCGGAGCCAACTGTAGGCCACTTCGTGTTCTTCGTCTTCCCAGAACACCACTCCCAGGCCACATTCTGAATGCCCGGAGCCAACTGTAGGCCACTTCGTGTTCTTCGTCTTCCCAGAACATAACTCCCAGGCCACATTCTGAATGCCCGGAGCCAACTGTAGGCCACTTCGTGTTCTTCGTGTTCCCAGAACACAATTCCTAGGCCACATTTTGAATGCCCAGAGCCAACTGTAAGCCACTTCGTGTTCTTCGTGTTCCAGGAACAGCATTCCTGTACCATATTTTGATTGCCCAGAGCCAACTGTTAGCCACTTCGTGATCTTCGTGTTCCCAGAACACAAGTCCTGTGCAATATTTTGAATGCCCGAGCTGAGGCAGGCTGACGCCGAGGCAGGCTGAGGCCGAGGCAGGCTGAGGCTGAGGCGGAGGCACGCCGAGGCAGGCTGAGGCTGAGGCTGAGGAAGGCTGAGGCTGAGACAGGCGGAGGCTGAGGCCGAGGCAGGCTGAGGCCGAGGCAGGCTGAAGTTGAGGCCGAGGCAGGCTGAGGTTGAGGCAGGCTGAGACTGAGGCTGAGGCAGGCTGAGGCTGAGGCTGATGCAGGCTGAGGCTGAGAGGCTGACGCTAAGGCTGAGGCAGGCTGAGGCTGAGGCTGAGGCCGAGGCAGGCTGAGGCTGAGGCTGAGGCAAGCCGAGGCAGGCTGAGGCTGAGGCTGAAGCTGAGGCTGAGGCTGAAGCTGAGGCAGGCGGAGGCTGAGGTTGAGGCTGTGGCTGAGGCTGAGGCAAGCTGCGGCTGAGGCAGGCTGAGGCTGAGGCTGATGCAGGCTGAGGCCGAGGCAGGCTGAAGTTGAGGCTGAGGCAGGCTGAGGCTGAGGCAGGCTGAGACTGAGGCTGAGGCAGGCTGAGGCTGAGGCTGAGGCTGATGCAGGCTGAGGCTGAGAGGCTGACGCTCAGGCTGAGGCAGGCTGAGGCTGAGGCTGAGGCAGGCTGAGGCTGAGGCTGAGGCAAGCCGAGGCAGGCTGAGGCTGAGGCTGAAGGTGAGGCAGGCTGAGGCTGAGGCTGAGGCTGAGGCAAGAAGCGGCTGAGGCAGGCTGAGGCTGAGGCTGATGCAGGCTGAGGCTGAGGCTGAGGCAGGCTGAGGCTGACAGGTATGCTTATACACATCGCTGTTAAGTTGCTTTGCCGGGATAATGGGCTCAAAAGAGAGCAGCATCTTGACGCCCCAGGGGGTTTGGGCGGGATCCGGACAGATCCGGACAAAAGGGTCAGCCCCAGGAATCCTTAGGAATCCTTAGGAATTCTTTGGTATCCTTAGGAATCCATTCCCAGACCACCATTCCCAGGCCACATTTTGAATGCCCGGAGCCAACTGTAGGCCACTTCGTGTTCTTCGTGTTCCCAGATTCCCAGGACACAGTTTGAATGCCCAGAGCCAACTGTAGGCCACTTCGTGTTCTTCGTCTTCCCAGAACACCATTCCCAGGCCACATTGTGAATGCCCGGAGCCAACTGTAGGCCACTTCGTGTTCTTCGTGTTCCCAGAACACAACTCCCAGGCCACATTCTGAATGCCCGGAGCCAACTGTAGGCCACTTCGTGTTCTTCGTGTTCCCAGAACACAACTCCCAGGCCACAGTTTGAATGCCCGGAGCCAACTGTAAGCCACTTCGTGTTTTTCGTGCTACCAGAACACAATTCCCAGGCCACATTTAGAATACCCAGAGCCAACTGTAAGCCACTTCGTGTTCTTCGTGTTCCAGGAACACAAGTCCTGTGCCACATTTTGAATGCCCGAGCTGAGGCAGGCTGACGCCGAGGCAGGCTGAGGCCGAGGCAGGCTGAGTCTGAGGCTGAGGCACGCCGAGGCAGGCTGAGGCTGAGGCTGAGGCAGGCTGAGGCTGATGCAGGCGGAGGCTGAGGCCGACGCAGGCTGAGGCCGAGGCAGGCTGAAGTTGAGGCCGAGGCAGGCTGAGGCTGAGGCAGGCTGAGACTGAGGCTGAGGCAGGCTGAGGCTGAGGCTGAGGCTGATGCAGGCTGAGGCTGAGAGGCTGACGCAGGCTGAGGCAGGCTGAGGCAGGCTGAGGCTGAGGCAGGCTGAGTGAGGCTGAGGCAGGCTGAGGCTGAGGCTGAGGCTGAGGGCTGAGGAGGCAGGCTGAGGCTGAGGCCGAGGCTGAGGCAGACTGAGGCTGAGGCTGAAGCAGGCTGAGGCTGAGGCTGAGGCAGGCTGAGGCTGAGGCTGAGGCAGGCTGATGCTGAGGCAGGCTGAGGCTGAGGCTGAGGCTGATGCAGGCTGAGGCTGAGGCAGGCTGAGGCTGAGGCCGAGGCTGAAGGCAGACTGAGGCTGAGGCTGAAGCAGGCTGAGGCTGAGGCTGAGGCAGGCTGAGGCTGAGGCTGAGGCAGGCTGATGCTGAGGCAGGCTGAGGCTGAGGCAGAGGCTGAGGCTGAGGCTGAGGCAGGCTGATGAGGCAGGCTGAGGCTGAGGCTGAGGAGGAGGAGGAGGAGGAGGAGGAGGAGGAAGGAGGAGGAGGAGGAGGGGAGGAGGAGGAGGGGAGAAGGAGAGGAGGAGAGGAGGAGGAGGAGGAGGAGGAGGAGGAGGGGGGGAGGAGGAGGAGGAAAGCTCGGGAAAGCTTGAACAAGAGGGGGCCGGAGCAGTGCTACGCCCCCCCACGTGCAGATTACGGATAATCTGTAAAGGGGCTTATGATCTTCGTCGACTGGGGGGGGCTTTGAGCGAGCTGCCGACTCTCCCGTCAGTCCGCCTCCCGAAATCCTTGGCCGAGCTGCCGACCACTGGCAAGGGAGCAGATCCGCCACCCCCCACTGGGGGCATGGGCCACTGCATCCCCGCTTTGGGGGTGAGGCCACGACGGAGACGATTGATCATAGTTTGGCCAGAGGGGGTGCGCTCCTGGGGCACTCGTGGGCCAATTTGCAGAGCCGCCCCCCCCCCCCAGCAACAATGGGGGCGTACCTGGCACACCTCCAGCACCAGGCCAGCCCGTTCTGCATGGCTATAGAATGAGAGGGGTGCACACTGCGGGCACCGACCTTCAACTCTCTGATACAGGTGGGGGGGGGACATAGACGTGGTGGCCATGCTCGCTCAAGCCCCTCTTGCATATGTCCCCGCGACACGCACAACTCTGGAGCCAGTCGGCCAACGAGAGGCGCCCTGGTGTTTGTCGGCATTTGCTGCAGGCCCACCTACCAGAGCTCAGGCGGGACAGGACATGCCCCGAACGGGCCTCGAGCTCCCCAATCCGCCCCGGGCCCGAAGAGGAGCCGACCGAACCGTCCGCCCCGCCGAGCCGATCCGAGCGAGCCCCGCGCTCAACCTCCGCACAGATCGGGGCCAAGACCGCACCGATGCGCTGGTGCACGAGGGTCGCTCGAGCGTCGGCCACCTGTAGGGCCTTGACGTGGGTCCGAATTGGGGTGGCAGCAGGCTCCGCCCCTCGCTGGGCCAGAGCATCCGCGAGCTCATTTCCACGGGAGCATCGCGGGCCCCGGCCAGAGCGCACGTGGGAATCAACATCCAGGTGCGAGAAGACTTTGGGCGGACATTCTGGCCCCCCCGCCGCTCGAGGGCCGACCGAATTCGGGCCCACCATTTGGCGTGGCTTCCCCTGGGATGCTGGGCATTCCCTTGGACCCAGCCGTTAAAGACCAGCTGGCAATCAGTGAAAATGTCCAGGGGGCCCGTGGAAAGCTGCAGCGCCCTCCAGAGGGCAGCCAGCTCAGCGACGGGGACCGTCTGGTCCCCGTCGACGGTCCCGAAAAAAACAGAAAGCTCGCCGTCGTCCGCTTCCAGCTCCGCCCACTCCCCCAAAGTAAACACCCCAGCCCACACGACAAACACGGGCATCGCTGGAAGTGGCCGACCCGGTGCACGGACGGGGCATTCACCTGCTCCTACGTTGAATGATCCTACATTCGCGAGGGCGGGAGAGGAGGAGGGGAGGACGTCGCTCGAGGAAGAGTCGAGGATCGGGGGGGAGGTGCCGACTGCCCAGACGCCCAACCCCTCTCCTGAGTTCCAGGCGGGCGGCGGCGGCACGGCTACCCATTCGGGGGGGGCGATCCCCCTGGTCCAGTAAGCAACGCGACGATTATCCAACAGGTCTTTTATCGCATGCTGACGGAGGCCCTCAGTGCGCTCGATCCAAGGGTCCCCCATCTCGCAGGCGGCCAAGCAGAAGTACAGCCTGTGCTCGATGGTGTCCTTGCCCTCGCCACAGCGCTCACAGTCGTCGGGGCACTGGTAGCCTGCCGCTAGCGCCCTTGCCCCCGTCCAGATTCCAGCCAGCGCTCCCGCCTCCAGAGCGCCTGCCTCTTTGTGGCGCTCCTGGCGGCGCACCCTCCTCAGGTTGACTCTCAGCATGTGGAGGTCGCCGCCGTCGCCGAGGCCCGCTCCGGGGGGGTGGTCCCCAGCCTGGCGCCACAGCTGGCGCGTCACAGTGCTCTTGATCGCCTTCACTAGGTCCTGCACGCTGTCGCCATCGTTGCCGAGGTGCCGCCACTCGGAGCCCTCGTCGTCGATCCAGACGTCGGGCACCCGCCGCGGTATCCAGCCGATGTCGCGCAGGGCCAGGATGATCGCGCCCATGGGCCCCGCGACGCACTTCCACCGAGCACGAGGTCGCAAGTGTAGGAGTCTCTTGAGCACCTCTCGCCATCCAAGTCGAACGCGGTCTCGCAGCTCCGAGTGGCGCGCCCAGAAGTGGAACCACTCCTTCACCTGCTGCGCCAAGGCCGCCATCTTGGGCTCGTCGTCCTGGTAGTGCAGCAGGAGGGTGGTGGAGGTGCAGCGCCCGCCCACAGTGTGGCCTGTGAGGTCCGCTGCCTGGGCCCGTCGCCGCGTTGTCGTCGAAGGAGGCGCTCCATTGATCGGGTCGGCGAACTGGTACTTCGCCCTGATGTTGGTGTTGCGCAGCATGACACCCTTGGTCCTCTTGTTGCCGCGCCCCAACCTGCGGAATAAACTCGCTCGCGTAGCCCTCGCCCTCGCTGCCGACATCCGCGTCCTGGCCGTCTTGTTGCTGCGCCTGGAGCCCATGGTGCAGTCGATGCCGAGGTCCTTCGCCGTGGACGCCCTCTGCACACGGATGCCAGTCTCCTGATACACGTAAGTCAACGCTGCCCTGCTCGTCCTTGGGCCTCGTCATCATCAAGATGGACTTGGGCGAAACACGCAGGCCTAGGTCGAGGCAGCCCTGCACTAGGGTGACCGCGACGTCCTTGGCATGGTCGAGGACCTCGTCGGCCGTGCCCTCGATACGGCTGTGCACGTCGTCCACCTACTGCCGCGCCCTTGCCACAGGTGCTCTCGCATGGGCTGATTCCAACAGGTGGTAGAGGAAGGCTCTTGCCCAGTGGTTGGCCTTCCCGCAGCCAGGGAGGATCGAGCAGTTGGGGGCGATGGTCGAGCCGAAGGCCCCGTGTGACTTGACCGCTCGCGGCGCCAAGTACGTGAGGCAGCGCAGGTACAGTTCGACGGGCGGCACCTCCAGGGAGATGCCCTTGTGGATCATCAAGGCCAGGTCGATGTAGTCGTAGAACTTCTCCACGTCCATCGAGAAGTTGCTCTGCTCGGCTACGCCGGCGTGCGCTCTAGTCTCGTCGAGCACCATGGTGAGCAACGCAGCCTGCAGCGCGGAACTCCCACGCACCGCAGCGCCCCGGTGTCCAGCTCGCTTGTCACACCACTGCGTCAAGGCGGCCTTGGTCATGCGGCCCCAGATGCGCACGGGCAAGGGAAGGAGGCCGATGTCCCTCTCGTTGCCGACCCCCTGCTTGGCGCCCTTTGGCAGGAGGGCATGCCAGTTGTGGAGGAGCTGGTGCGGCCAGGCCAAGGCGCGCTCCACCATGTTGAGCAGGGTGGCGAAGGGCTCCTGCCCCTGGTCGGAGGCCGCGAGGAGGTGGCCTGGCGCCCACTGATCAGCGCCCTTGCCCGTGGCCCTGGGGAAGGTCCTGATGGCGTTCACCGTGTCGTCTCTCGTGCGGTAGCGCCGCTCTGGCAGCGCCTCGCGAGCCAGGGTCCGCAGCTCGCTCAGCGCCTCGCGCAAGGCAGGCTCGCGGTCGGGCTTGCTGGTCCAACGGTCACGCCAGCGGCGTGCCCTGGCCTCTGTGGAGGCCTGCACGGAGTCGCAGACCTCGCCAGTGTCGGGGTCGATGCAGGTCGTCTAGGGCGTGCACTTCGTCCTTCTTGAGATAGCGGTGGGCGCCTCGCATGGAGCCCCGGGTACTTCCCTTGGCCCAGGCTTGCACCTCACTGCGGGCCTGGTGCCACGCCAGGCTGGCATGCCTAGCCGCTCTCGCCTGTACCTTCAGTGCAAAGGCCTTTCCTGGAGTAGCGGATGCGCTCGCCGTGGCCGAGGACCCTGTCGTCGTCCAGGTGTATCCGCCACTTCCCCTTAGTGGCCTGCAGCTGGTCGTCAGGCACGGGCCCCTTGGCGGTGAGGAGGTACCTGATGTCGCTGATGATGTCGGAGACGATGTCCTGCACCTTGCGCTGGTACTCGGTGTGGCGGTGGCGCCCAAGCGCGATGAGCTGCTCCTGCACCCGGGCGTGGAGGCTGGCCCACTTGCCACCAATGTCCTGCGCGCAGGCGTGGCCGAACTGCGAGTCTGCCGTCTGCTCCTGTGCCTTGCGCCATTGGTACTTGACAGGCTGACCACGTCGGGCTCTGTCACGAGGCACAGTGCCGCAGAGCTCGGCCAGCTGCGCCTCCGCCGCCTCGGCCCAATATCCGTACGGCACCGCCAGCGCCTGCGCCATGTACGGGTCCATCTGGTACGCGATGCTGGCCTGCGCATCCTCGCCCGCTGGGATGCGAGTGCCTACGCGCTCCGGAGCCTCGGCGGCGTAGACCACCCAGGGCGAGCAGACGTGGTCGTTGCACTGCTGGGGCCGCCACTGGGTGTAGGTGTCCTCGAGGAAGTGCTCCTCGTCGTCGTTGAGCAGGTCGCCCTCCTGCAACTGGCCGCGTTCCTCCTTGGCCTGCTGCAGTTCTGCGTGCCGCTGCCTGTCGCGTTGACGGCGCTTGATCCCCTTAGGCACGTGAACTTCCCCTGCAGGCACTTCAAGAGGTACGGGTAGCACAGGGACGCGTGGCATCACTGCGGCAGGCCTCGCAGTGACCAGGATGTTGAGGCCGATGTGCGGGCCCCACGGCAGCTTCTGGACGGGCTTCGCCCTCTTGGGGAAGGGGCGGAAGCTGTCGGGCACGACGACGCAGTCCAGCATGCGACCCTTGCCCGACGCGCACGTGATGTTCACACCCTCAGGAGTCAGGATTCGCGCCTTCAGGGTGAGAAGCCAGCCTGAGCGCGCCAGCTCTTCTGGAGTGGCGTTGAAGTCGCCCACCAAGCACCAAGGAACCCCCAAGGACTTCACATTCCGAGCGAGTGTGGTCATCTTCCTGGCGTTGGTCCCGACGAGGCCGATGGAGCAGTCCAGGTAGCACACGATGAAGGCGAACGTGGCCCCCTGGAAGCGCCAGAGCACCACGGAGACGTCCTGGTGCGCGTCCTGGAACACGCTCTGGTGGTTGGCGCCCTGCAGGTGGACGCTAGTGGCGTAGGTGGCTCTCCTCAGCCAACACGTGCCGCCGTGGGTGCCCGAGTCTGAGCGAGCAGAGGGAGTTGCCGGCGTCCAGGCCCCGCCCGAACGCCAGCCAAAACTGCGGAGGCGCTTCTCCTCCTGGTCGCACTTGCCCTTGCCGAGGTGGTGCTCCGCGAGGCCGATCATGTCGTGGTCGGACGTCTCGATGAACCTCTTGACCTTGAGAGAGTACGAGGTGACGTTGCCGAAGAAGATCGATGCAAAGCCCCTCTTGCCGACGGGGGTCCTGGCTGAGGCCGACCTGTGCACCTGGCGGCCCTCGCTCCTACGAGCGCCTCGTCCTCCGACAGCCGTGTTACCCGTTCGTCTGGTCCTTGACGCCCTTGCCGTCGCCCTTGCCTGGGATCGCCGCTCCTGCTGCCGCTGCTGGTGCCGCGGCCGTCGCGGGCACCACTGGCGCGGCCGTAGGCGCCTTGGCGGCCACGGCCCCCGCCACGGCAGTCCTGCGCAAGGTCGTGGTCTTGATGTACGCATCGACCGCCTCAGGGTTGCTGAAGTCCTGGCCGCCAGCGTCCACGGGCGGCGGGGCCGAGGCGTCAGCTGCGGCTGCGCCGCCGCCGCCTGGGGCCACTCCGCAGGCCGTGTCAGCCTTGCGCCGCTTGGTCGTGGCGACCTGCTCGCGGAGGTTGCGGAGCGTGGCGGCCGCCTCCCTCGCCTGCTTGCCCGCGTCGGTGGCGGACTGGAGGGTGGCCTGGGCCTGCTGCGCCGCCGCGGCCGCGTCCTTGTAGTACTGCTGCTGCTCGGGCGTGAAGAGCTGGAGGTCATTTTCCGTGAGGGAGGGGAACTCGGTGTCGTCTGCAGGGCCGCCGTTCCCTGAACTGGCCGCTGGAGTCCCCGTCTGCGCTGAGTAGCGATCCGCCTCCTCTTGCGCCTCGTTGCGTGCCTTGATGTTCTCGTTGGGCCTACGGAGGAGCTCCTTGCCCGTCTTGGCGTTGGCCACGATCTGCTCCTTGAGCTGCTTCTGCTGGCCGTGGAGCTGTCGCAGCTGCCGCGCAGCCTGCTCCAGGAGGATCGCAGGCGCGGGCATGGGCTCTGCGATCTTGGCCAGCTCGGGACAGACCAGCTCCAGCGCCTGGATGGCGGCGGCGTCCTTGGCCTCGCGCGTCGCCCTGTACTTGGGCATGAGCTGCTGCACCAGCGGGGGGCCGTCCATGCTGAAGGTGGCGGTGCGACCCGCGGATGTCCCGTTGCGAAAAGCAGGCCAAGGGACACCGCAGGACTGACACCCTTCCCAACCAGGTTGGCCAGCACGAGACTTGTACACCCAAGGACGAGGGCAATGCACGCAGACGTAGTACTCGTTGCGCTTTTTGCCGCCATGCCTGGAAACTGAGCGTGAAGCACGCCTCTGGCTTCCCGTCTTGCCCATACACGTGAACTCGCGGCACCACACGACTTTTGCCGCCCGCAGGCGCCCCTCAAGCCGCGGACGCACGTAGCGGGCGCCTGGCGCCAGCCCGTGCGCGGTACGCGCGTGTGGTGACTGATGGAGGCCGCCTCGCCCCAAAGGAGACCTCGCACCAGAATGGCTTGAGGGGAGGAGGAGGAGGAGGAGGAGGAGGAGGAGGAGGAGGAAGAGGAGGCGGAGGAGGAGGAGGAGGAGGAGGAGGAGGAGGAGGCACGCACACTGCCGCTCTCGCAGCCGGGCCGGGGCTCGCACCAGAGCGGGGGCGGCCGCTTCGAGAGCTCCCGGAGCCGCTCGTGCACGAACAGCGCGCCTCCTGCGGCACGCGGGCGCGCGGGCCCGAGCTCCCGCCGCCCGCGCTGCCCAAGGGGGGGCGAGGGGCGGGGGGCACGAGGTCTGTGGACCCCTCTGTGGCCACAGGTTGATGGGCCCATCTTCCACCACCACCACCATCTGTTGACGAGGGAGGAGGAGGAGGAGGAGGAGGAGGAGGAGGAGAGGGAGGAGGAGGAGGAGGAGGAGGAGGAGGAGGAGCTCCTCATCCTCCCTCCTCCCCCCTCCCAACATATGGATACATCTGGTAGTGGTGGTGGAAGGTTTGCCCACCAGACTCAACTGCGGTCGACCGAAATCTCGGCCCGCGCCCGTGCGAAGGGGAGCACTCCAAGGGCGTCAGCCGTGCCTCGCTCTGAAGCCTTCCGAACGCGTCGCCCACCGCAATCTCAGCCAACCTGTCCCACTTGAGCGAGGAAAAGAAATGGGTCTCACGCGCGACGACATAGACCTTGCGCCGCGGCTTCTACGCTGGCCGCCAGCGTGGCACACGGCGTGAAGAAGAAGAAGAATAAGGAAAAGAAGAAGAAGGCGCTTCCGCGCAACCTTACGTGGGCAGCTTGCGCGCGAATGTCCGCGCAATTCAACCCGTTGTCTTACGTCGACTACCTGTGCTCAGCTCCACGATAGCGCTGCACTGAGACCACTCGCGGATGCCTCTCGCCATTTTTCCTGAAGGCCACTTGGGAAATCAGCCTTCAGCTGCCATTTCCGAATCTGCTTACCCCGATCATCATGACCATCTTATTCCCTCTTCCTCTCACCCCTCCCACTCCTCATCATCCTTCTCCTCACCATGGCGGCTTCGTGCGCCTGGCTGAAATGCAAGCCCGCACCACACCACCCCGCTGCTCACTCAATCGATGCATACCTGCACGCTTAGGAACGACCCAGCCGCGCGCCGCGTACTGTGTTCTCACTGTGGCCGTCTCGTCGTGCAGTAGGCCTCCGGCCGCGACAAACCTCCCAAAGAGACCAATCACAACCTGGAGTCGACGGTGTTCGATGGGCTCTGGGTCTGGGAGCTCCGACCTCCTCTTGCCAAGCCTCCTTCAGCCCAGGAGGCCCAGGACGCCCCCACTAGACCCCAACGAGAAGTAAGCAGCTTCTTCATAGATGCACGTCCCCCGGGAAGCATGCGCCGCTGGCCGAAAGAGGTCGCCAAAGTAGGATCAGGCCGCCTCTCTTTCGCCCTGGCACAAGATTGAAAAATAAGCAGCTGGGGTCTGGCGCAAGCGTGGCGAACGAGGAGGAGCGGAACCTAAATGCCCTCCGCTCCCATCCTCGTCCTGCACCTCCTCCTGCACCCTGCATGCAGCTCCTCATCCTGTTGGTAGTCCTCTGACTCTCACTCCTTTTCTTGCTACGTAGCTTAGAGAAAGAAAGAGAGAGAGAGAGAGAGAGAGAGAGAGAGCGCGCCCACAGCGCCGAAGCAAAGGGGGGGGGTCACCCCTTAGCTACCCCCCCCTCCCTTCCACCTCCCCTGCTGGAAGCTCCCCCCCACTCCCCCCTTGTTCGCCTCCCCCCTGAAGCTCCCCCCCCCCCTACCCCCTCTTCGCCATTCCGAAGCTACCCCCCCCTTTCCCAAAGGGAGGGGGGGGGTTAGCTACCCCCCCCCCTCCCCTTGACCCCCCTCTGCCGGAAGCTACCCCCCCTTCCCCCCTTTGGTTCCAAAGGGGGGGGGGGCTTAGCAGCCCCCCCCCCCTCCCCCTTTCGGCACCCAGGAAGCTACCCCCCCCTCCCCCCTTACGAAAGGGAGGGAAGCTTAGCTACCCCCCCCCTCCTGTGACCCCCCTCTGCCGGACGCTCCCCCCCCTTCCCTCCATGTTTGTCCCCTGCCTGAAGCTACCCTCCCCTCCCCCCCTTTCCAAAAGGGGAGGGGCGGCTTAGCTTCCACCCCCCTCCCCTGAACTCCCCCTGCCGAGCGATCCTCCCCCGTCGCCGTCGTCGTTGCCGTCGCCGTCGCTCGACGTCTTCGTACGACGCCGTCGTCGTCCTCGTCTTCGCCGCCGTCGCCGTCATTGTCGCCGTCTTCGTATGACCTCGTCGTGGTCACGACGAGGACGAGGTCATACGACGGCGACGGACGACGGACGACGCACGACCGACGACGACGACGACCCAGGGTCAGAGAAAACGAGACCACGACCCAGGGGCTGAGAAAACGAGGAAACGAAGCAGGGTCCGAGAAAACGAGAACACGGCCCAGGGGCAGAGATAACGAGACAACGAGACAACAAAGCAGAGTCCCAAAAAACGGACCAGGGTCGGAGAAAACGAGACAACGACCCAGAGGCCGAGAAAAAACGAAAACGAACCAGGGGCCGAGAAAACGAGACAGACACCCAGGGGCCGAGAAAACGAGAAAACAAACCAGTGCCCGAGAAAACTCAACCACGACCCATGGGGCTTAGAAAACGAGAAAACGAACCAGAGCCCGAGAAAGCGAGAGCACGACCCAGGGGCCGAGAAAACGAGGAAACGAGAAAACGAACCAGGGCCCGAGAAAACGAAACAACAATCCAGAAGCCGAGAAAACGAGACAATGAACCAGGGTCCGAGAAAACGAGATAACCATTCAGGGGCAGAGAAAACGAGAAAACGAGAAAACTAACCAGGGTCCGAGAAAACAAGACCACGACCCAGGGCCCGAGAAAGCGAGAGCACGACCCAGGGGCAGAGAAAACGAGGAAACGAGAAAAGGAATCAGGGCCCGAGAAAACAAAACCACGACCCAGTGGCTGAGAACACGAGGAAACGAGAAAACGAACCAGGGTCCGAGAAAACGAGACTACGACCCAGGGGCCGAGAACACGAGACAACTAACCAGGGTCTGAGAAACCGAGACCACGACCCAGGGGCCGAGAAAACAAGAGAACAATTAAATTCACCAGGGTCGAAGAAAACTGGACCACGACCCAGGGGCCGAGACAACGAGAAACGAAAACACGAACCAGGGTCAGAGAAAACGAGACCACGACCCAGGGGCAGAGAAAACGAGAAAACAAGAAAACAAACCAGTGCCCGAGAAAACGAAACCACGACGCAGGGGCCGTGAACAAAAAAAACGAGAAAACGAACCAGGCCACGAGAAAACGCGACGACGACCTAGGGGCAGAGAAAACGAGATAACGAACTAGGGCCCGAGAAAACCAGACGACGACCCAAGGGCCAAGAAAACGAGAAAACGAAAAAACGGCACGGGGTCCGAGAAAGCGAGACCATGACAAAGGGGCAAAGAACATGCAATCACGAGGAAACAAAACAGGGTCCGAGAAAACTGGACCAAGAACCAGGGGCCGAGAAAACGAGAACACGAGAAAACAAAACAGGGTCCGAGAAAACAAGCCCACGACCCAGGGGGCGAGAAAACAAGAAAACACGAAAACGAATCAGGGTAAGGAAAACAGAGACCACGACCCAGAGGCCGAGAAAACGTAAAAACAAGACACCGAACCAGCGACCGAGAAAACGAGACCACGACCCAGGGGCCGAGGAAACGAGAAAACGAACCAGGGCTCGCGAAACCGAGACCACGACCCAGGGGCCGAGCAAACGAGAAGACGAGAAAACGAACCAGGGCCCGAGAAAACGAGACGACGACCCAGAGGCCGAGACAACGAGAAAACACACCAGAATCCGAGAAAAAAAGACCTCGTTTCAGGGGCCGAGAAGACGAGAAAACGAGACAACGAACCAAGGTCAGTACCCCTCCTCTGGGCAGCCTCATCCCTCCCCCTCCTCCTCCTCCTCCTCCTCCTCCTCCTCCTCCTCCTCCTCCTCCTCATCCACCTCCACCTCCTCCTCCTCCTTCCCCTATCCCGCCCCTTCCTCCCTCGTCTCTCCTTGCCTCCCCCCCTTCCCCCCACTCCTCTCCCCCTCCTCTCCTTCCCTCCCTCTCCCCCCCCCTCCCTCCTCCCCCCCCTCCCCCTCCCTCCCTCCCTCGCCCTCCCCCTGCTCTGCCCGAGGACGCACAGGAAAGCACACAACGCCGGGCCGCGGGGTCCCGGTGCGCCCCCAAGCCCGGGCGCGTCCGCTGCGGCGGCCGGGGCTGCGGCAACCGGCGCCTCCGCGACGGCGCGGCGAGGCGCCCCGGGCCCCTCCTCGTCGTCGTCGTCCTCCTCCTCCTCCTCATCCTCCTGCTCCTCCTCCTCCTCCTCCTCCTCCTCCTCCTCCTCAGCTATTTCGCTCGGGGCAGGGGGAGCCCCGTGTTGCGGGGGGCCAACTTCGGAGCGGCCCTGCCCCCCGCGGGCCAGCTACGGAGGCGCGATGTCTTTTCTCTTCCCCCCCTCCTCGTCTCCTCTCGCTCCGCCGCCCACCTCCCGACATCAAGAAGAGGCCCAACGTTCTCCCTCCCCCTCGGAGGACCAGGTCTCGGCGGCGCCAGTGCGCAAGCCAGCTTGGCTTAGCGAGTGCAAGAAAAGTGAGCAGTGGCAGCAGGCTTTCGCGCTGCTCACCAAGGAGTTCAACGTCGCCATCGGACGCAGTGATGCGGCGAAGGACGAGCCCGACATCATCAGCTATCCGTGCTGGGGGATGGGCGAGCAGAGGGAGGCAGAGACGAAAGTCGAGCCCAACGCCATCAGCTACAGCCGACGAGGCCAAAGCAGCTGGAGGCCAATACGGAGGCCGCAAGGCGCGGAGCCAGCGGCGAAAGTCGAGCCCAATGCGATCACCTACAACCGACGAGGTGGCAGGCGCTGGGGACGACGCGACTACGGACGAGCCCCACGACTTCAGTGCGAGCAGTGGGAGGCGAAGACAGAGCCCGACGTGATCAGCTACAGTGCTGGCAAACGCTGGCGACGACGATACGAAGGACGAGCCCAACGACCTCACTGCGAGAAGTGGGAGGCGAAGGCAGAGCCCGACGTGGTCAGCTACAGTACTGGGATCAACGGACGGTGCGAGCAGAGCGAGACGCCCCGTTCGGCGCTCCACGCCTGCTGCGAGAAGCGGGAGGCGAAGGTAGAGCCCGACGGCGCCCCGCCCAGGAAGGGAAAGGCGAAGCTGGAGCCAAACGCAATACTTCTAGAGCTACTGTGCGAGCAGCGTGCGAGAAGCGGGAGGCAAAGCTGGAGCCTGACTCCTACACCGAAGCCCTACCGCGAGAAGTGGGAGGCGAAGGTAGAGCCCGACGTGACCAGCTACAGTGCGATAATCGAGGGCAAGGAGCGAGAGAAGAGGGAAGCAAAGCTGGAGCCCAACGCTATCCTAGCTAGCCTATTCGGGGACGGGCTCGACACGGCCAGCCTCTTGCGAGAAGCGGGGGGCGAAGCCGGAGCCCAAGCTAAGATGATCGATTATATCGCTATTCTAGCCATGAGGAAGGCGAAGTTGGAGCCAGACGTCATCAGATCTATCTTTGGGATCAGGGCGTGCAAAAGGGCGATCAGCGGCAGGCGGCTAGGCACTCCTATGCGAGAACCTGGCGGCTAGCGGGCGCCCGACAGCGCAAGGGGGGCAGTGGCCGCAGTCAGTCACTGCCGTTGTGAGCTACCTGGAAACGGGAGCTCGTGCGAGAAGGCAGGCAGTGGCAGCAGCGACAGTGATGCGATCAGCTCGTGCGAGAAGGGCGCAGGCGTGCACAGCAGGCTTGCGAGAAATCGGCCCTTTCAGGGTCCTCCTCCTCCTCCTCCTCCTCCTCCTCCTCCTCCTCCTCCTCCTCCTCCTCCTCCTCCGCGCAGTCCTCCTCGTCGTCGTCGCCCTCCTCCCCAGGAGAGCGGGCGCCCGCCTGGCGCTAGGGGCCGTGGGACACCCAGGTGTTCCGCAACGGCCCCTGCGCCTCGTCGTCCGAAGCCCTTCGCCTCCCGCGCGCCGTGCGCGGGAAGCCACTCCCGAGCTTCGCGTTCGGGTGCAGCGAGCAGGCGGACCGTATTTCGGCCGCCCGCTTCGGCTTGGTCCATCCTCGTCCTCCTCCTCCTCCTCTTCTTCTCATCCTCCTCCTCGTAATCCTCGTCGTCGTCCTCCACCTTCGAGCTCCGAGCTGCGGACCTTGTCTTGCCCTCGAACCCCTCTCACAAGAGCGCCGGTGGGAGGGGGAAACAAAAACCAAGAGGTAAAGACAGAACAAGCAAAAACAGCGCAACGGCGAAGACGGGGGATGATGCACCTCAAGGGGGAAAGGGAGGCTGTCTGAGCGTCTTCCTCTTCCTCCTTCTCCTCCTCCTCTCCAGATCTCCGACGATATGCGCTTTTTCAGCCCAAGGGTTTTTCCTCGATCTTGGCCAGACGTGTCCTTTCTCCCCCCCTCACTGCCTCCATCTCCTCACTTCTGCCTTCCCTCCCCGCGCGTCCCCGATCGGATTCTTCGTCGTGCCCCCACCCTCAGGAGCTTCTGCGTAGCGTGTCGCGGTGGCGGCCCCGGCGACACTACGCTTAAGTCGGGCGTGTCCCCCAACAGGGGGAGCTTGGGCGAAAAATTGAAAATAATCCAAAAATGCACCCCGAATACTTCAAAATAGTCAAACAAATGTCCCCAGACTATTTTTTGACTACATTTTTGAACATTCCCCCTGTAGAGAGACACGCCCGACTTAACACTACGCCTGGCGAGCGGATAGCGGGTCCCTCCGCTCCGCGGGGCGGGGGGCCGGGAAGCGCTCGGCACGCGGACGCCCGGGGAGCGGGAGGTGGACAGCACGTCGCGCCGATAGGGGGCCACATGCGAACCCTACCCCTACCCCCCACGATTTCTGAGGGGGAGGGTGGGGTCCACCTCGTTCGGGAGCTCCCGAGCGAAGTGAACCCCACCCTCCCCCTCAGAAATCGTGGGGGGTAGGGGTAGGGTTCGCATGTGGCCCCCTAGGCGTGGCGGGCCAGAACTGGCGGAGCGACACGCTGTCCAAACCTTGGTCTCGTTTTCTGCATCCTGCCTGGCCACCCTCTTCACATCTCGACGGCCAGCCCGGGAGGGAAGCGAGAACGGGCGGGCCTTCGCAGGGGGCGCGGAAGTCCCCCGGCCTCTTGAGAAGTTGCCCAAGCCTTCCCCGAAGACACGGAAAACCTCTCAGAGGGCCAGAGGGCCTCGGAGAGGCCCCGCCGCCTTCGGAGAAGCCCCCCTCCGCCTCCCTTCCGCCCCTCGCGCGCCGCCGATCCCTCCCCCCCTCGCCCCCTCTTGCCCTGCCCGGGGACGCCAGGGAGCGCACAGAACGGAGGGCCGCGGGCCCCGATGCGACCTCGAGCTCGCCGCCGAACATCTCACCCTCGCCTCCTCGCCCCGTCCGCCCCACCCGCTGCTCCCCCTTCCAGCCCCGCGGGAGCTGGCCCAGGCTGCCTCGCCAGCGGTGCAGCGCCCTCCCGCAGAGGAGGAGGAGGAGGAGGAGGAGGAGGAGGAGGAGGAGGAGGAGGAGGAGGAGGAGGAGGAGGAGGAGGAGGAGGAGGAGGAGGGGGGGGGGGGGACATCCCCTCCCTGTGAAAGGGGGGGGGAGCTTCCCCCCCCCCCTCTGGCACTCCCCGCCTGCCCGCCCGCCAGCTTCGTCCCGCAGACCCTGGCGTCCCGCCTGCGCGCTGGCCGTCGCCCGCTCGCTTCTCCAGGAAAAAAAACCATCAACAGAAACTTAAACCAACTTTTGGCGCCATCGCCATCGTCCGGAAAAGAACTTACTTTTGGCGCCACCGCCATCGCCATAAACTTAAACCAATGTTTGGCGCCATCGCCATCGCCATAAACTTACACTTAAACTTAAACAAAATAAAACACCATCGCTGGGAAGAAAAAAACGCCATCAACAGAAACTCCTGGCGCTCCGGTCGGATTTCTTGCATCTGCGCTGGACCCCCCCCTTCCCTGGCGCGAGGAGCGCGCCAGGGGGCGGCGCTGGAGGCGCCGCAACGGGGGCCCAGCGCGGCTCCAAGAGATCCGCGCGGAGCGCCAAGAGTTTCTGTTCACGGCGCTTCTCCTCGTTCGACTCTCGTGCCCTCCCTGCGCGTGCTTTACAGTCGGGCCGCTGAAGGAAGGAACGCTGAGTAGGGAACGAAGCCCCTGCTTGGCCCTGTCAGCGCCTCCGTGCCCCAGGAGGGCAAGAGGAGCAGCACTGGAGGCACCCAAGGAACATCGAGCCCCTTCCGAACCCAAACTGTTCCTTATTTCAGCGTTTTGACTTATTGAAGGGGCCCTGGGACACACACACACACACACACACACACACACACACACAAATACACAAATACACACACATATTTTTGTTGTTGATTGGCGGCTCCAAGGACGGCTCCAAAGAGCGGGACGGTCTCGGCTGGGGCACAGGGCGAGATAATTAGCGGCGACGGCGCATAGGCCGCAGCAGCGGGTGCACGTGCCAGGGACAAAATGCCCCCCATTAAGACGCAGGCGACCCGGAAGCGGGGACGCAAGCATCAGAAGGAAACTGACGGACTAATGCACACAAATAACCGGATTCCCAATATTTTCCCAAATTTTCCAGGTCTTTGTCTTCCCCCCCACTCCCCATGTTCTGCCATACTTTCGGGGGGAGCGACGATCAATTGTGTCTGTGGGTGTGTTTTTGTTCCCCTCCTGACTGTATGGCCTCCCGCCTGCTCGGTCGCCGTCGTCCGCTCGCTCCTCGGGCCCTCTTCGCCCCCCCCGCCGCCGCGCACCGCGCAGAGGCTGCCGGGGAGCCGGCGGCGGACCCTCGGCGTGGGGCCACTCCAGGGGGCGTTCGCTGCGCTCTCGCGCGCAGGGCGGCGCGTGCCGCAAGACTCGCTCGGGAGGGGAAAAAACACACAGGCGCAATGGATCGTCGAGTCCCCAGAAAATGTGGGAAAACGTGGGAGGTGGGGGGGGGAAGACGAAAACCCCGAGAATATGGGAACATATGGGGAATTCTGTTATTTGTGTGTGTGTGTGTGTTTATTTGTATGTCCCAGGGCCCCTTCACTCGCGGGCGACCTGCGAGTTGCCGGTGGCGGAGGAGGGGAAGTAGTCGGAGGACGGGGACGCGGACGCGGACGAGGGTACAGCCGGCCCACATCATAAGGATGCGCGATAAGGATGCAAGGGCCTTGGACGCCCACTCCGAAGCTTTTCTGGCGGGGCGCGGCCAACGAAAGTAGCCAAGGATGGACCGATGAGGCAAGGATGCAAGGGTACCCTTGGGAAGGTTGCCCATCCTCACTATGCGGGTTGGCCGTAGTCGGAGGACGGGGACGGGAACACGGACGATGGTGATGACAGAAATATGGCCAACCGCAACACTTAACGGCACTCCCTCAAAGCATATGTCGTTGTTGGTTGCACATGTTGGATGATGTCAGCCCGTCAACGGGCGACCTGAACTGCTTGATGATACCTACAGGCGTTCACGAACAACTCACAGCACGATGGCCAACCAACGATCAAGTTCGCAAAGCTCTACGATTACGGAAATTCGCAAAGCTTCGATCATGTACTTGACTATGATACGCATCCAGGGCCCAGGGCAACAATACGAAACCTGAACATTATTCCTCTGCGAATGTACCGTGCGCTCGTAACTCATGCAGTACTTTCCTCCACATTCGTCATCCACTTTGTTCTCCCTCGTCTTAAACATCTCCTCCTGCTCGTCATCTCCTCTGGCTCCTGCTCCAAGTCAACTTTTCCTCGTCCGCCTCCCCCTCTCCTTCCCCCTCCTACTCATCCTGCCCTTCTACTTCGCCCCCCTGCTTTTCCTTGTTCCTCCTCCGCCCACAGCGACGATGATGACGACGACGACGCAAAACCCGCCAACGACTACGAGCACGACGACGAAGACCACGACGACGAAGGCAGCGACGACGACAACGCAGTCGAAGGGCGGGAACTCGGCAGCGCGGGAGGCGGCGGGAGCCTCCGAACCGCCGCCCAATGACGTCCTGGGACGCAGTGTCGTCGTCGTCGTCGCCCTCGCCGCCGTCGTCGTCCGACGAGGAGGATGCGGAGGAGGAGGAGGAGGAGGAGGAGGAGGAGGAGGAGGAAGAGGAGGAGGAGGAGGAGGAGGAGGAGGAAGAAGAGACGAAGGAAAAGGAGGAGGAGGAGGAGGAGGAGGAGGAGGAGACGAAGGACTAGGAGAAAGGGCAGTAGGAAGAGCGGGAGCACGAGGAGGATGAGGGCAGGGGAAAGGGGAGCAAGGGTTGCAGCGCGCGGAGAGGCGGGGGAGGGGGAGGAGGATGAGGCCAAGGGGGAGGGAAAAGGGAGTGGACGTGACTGCGTGCCACTGCCCCCGACCCTCCCGTTCTCCTCCCCACGCCCCTCCCTCCTCCCGTCATCCCCGTCCGCTCCCGTGCCCCCGTCCCCTCCGCCCCCTCCACTTCTCACACGAGCCCCCCCCCCCCCCCATCCCCTCCTGGGCCCGGCCGGGCCGACGCGTGTGCGCGCGCGCCAGGCTGCCTGGGCGCTGCGCCCCACGCCCGAACCTGGCGAGGCTCGGACGAGGCGGCGCTGTACGCGTCGCAACGCCGCGATCCCTGCTCCGCGCCCTGCTGACGCACTTGACCCTGCCCCCAGACAGCCAGGGCCTTGGGTTTCACAGCACGGGGTCCACAGAGACCGGGACCCTGCCCCTGCCGATGCCCTTCGGGGGGGTTCACAGCACGGGGTCCCCAGAGGCCGGGACCCTGCCCCCGGGGCTGGCTCTGGACACCCTGGGAAGCCTCCCCTCCCGATGCCTATCGGGGGGGGGGACTGTGCAGGGTGCGGGGCCAGGTCGACCAGGCCCAGGAGCCCCGCCCGTGCTCCATGGTGGCAGGGCGCTGGCGCTGCAGACGAGCAACGCTGCCCCTGGGGCTGGCCCCTTTCATCCGGAGTCGTTCTGTGGCGCCGGCCCCAGGGCCCGGCGATGGCCCCCAGACCCGAGCTCGGCGAGAACCCCCCGCCTCGAGCTTCGCAAGACACTGGAGGTCCAGGTCCCTCCGCCGCCGCCGCCGCCGCCCTCGCCGCGGCCGCCGCCGCCGCGCGCCACCGCGCGCCACCGCGCCACGGGCCCCGCGCGGCGGGCGCCGTCGCCGCCGCCGCCGCCCGACGCTTCCCTCGCGGGGCCGCCGCCGGCGGCAGGCCCCCGCCCGGTCCTCGCCCAGTCCGCCAGGGCCCACAGCGGGCCGCGCGCGGGCATGCGCGGGGCGCGGGCGGCGTCCGCAGCGGGCGCGGCGGCGGGGGAGCCGCCGGAGCTCGGGCACGCTGGGGCGGCCGCCTGAGGTCGCCGTCGCCGCCGCTGCCGCCGTCGGGATCGCCGCCGGGGCCGCGCGAGGAGGCAGGAGAAGGAAAAGTGGGGGCAGGACGCTGAAGAAGGAGGAGGAGGAGGAGGAGGAGGAGGAGGAGGAGGAGGAGGAGGAGGAGGAGGATAAGGAGGATCGAGAAGGATAGAGAAGGAGGACGAGGAGAAGGAGCACGGAGGAGGAGGGGGAGGATGAGGATGAGGATGAGGAGGAGGAGGGAGGAGGAGGAGGAGGAGGAGGAGGAGGAGGATAAACAGAAGAAGGCAGAAGGTAGAAGACGAGGGGGAGCTAGGAGCTAGGAGCGAGAAGGAGGAGGAGGAGGAGGAGGGGTGGAGGAGCGAGCGACGAGCGAGAAGGAGGAGCTAGGAGGAACGAGGAGCGAGGAGCGAGAAGGAGATGAGGAGGAGGAGGAGGAGCGAGGCGATGAGCAAGGAGCGAGGAGGAGGAGGAGGGAGGAGGAGAGGAGGGGAGGAGGAGGGAACGACGAGCGAGGAGGAGGAAGAGGAGGAGGAGAGAGGAAGAGGAGGAGGAGGAGGAGGAGGAGAGGAATGGAAAATGCCGAGTGGAATGCCAGGTCCTGGACCCCTATGCAGCGACGGCTCTAGGGACAGAGGCCAGGCCGCCACAGCGAGGGGCGCACCTTCAGAAGCAGGCCAGCCAGGGCATCAGGGGAGGGAAAGGGATGGAGGAGGGCAGAGGGTGAAAGGGGAGGCAGGAGGGATGGAGGAGGGAGGCAGGAGGGATGGAGGAGGGATGGAGGAGGGATGGAGGAGGGATGGAGGAGGGATGGAGGAGGGATGGAGGCCTGGAGGAGGGAAATGGGGAGGGAGGAGGGATGGAGGAGGGCAGAGGGTGAAAAGGGGAGGCAGAAGGGATCGGATCGACTCGGCGGGGGAGAAGTGTCGTGCTCCGCAGCGCCGCCTGGGGCCCATGTGGGCCACACGTGTGGAGCTTTCTGTTCGTAAACAACCTCGGCAGTTCGTATATCCCGCCCTGCCCGGCGGCCAACAAAAGCCACCACGGCCCCAGCCGTCCACCCTGGCGAGGCAGGAGTGGGAGGAGGGAGGGGAAGAGGGGAGGCAGGAGGGAGGGGGAGAAGGGAAGGCGGGAGGCAAAAGGGGGGAGCAGGAGGGGGTGGATGGAGAAAGGGGGAGGGGCAGGGTGAATGGGGAAGGGGTGGCACGAACAGGGGATGGACGAGTGAGGAAAAGGGAGGAAGGAAGTGACGGGGGATAGAAAGAGAGAGAGAGAGAGAGTGAAATAAAGAAAGGAGAGGAAAGGGCGAGAACAGGGGAGGCATCTCAAATACTGGCAGGGGGGATAGGGAAGGGCCTGCGGAGACGGGGAAGTGCACTCCCTCCCGTTCCTGTACCTCCTCCTCCTCCTCCCCCTCCTTCCCCATCATCCTCATCATCATCACCACCACCATCACCATCATCACCAACAACATCACCAACAACATCATCTACAACATCAACAGCCTCATAATTATCATCATCGTCATCATCACCATCATCAACATCATCAGCATCATCAGCATGACTCCTCTCTCTCTCGCCGCCTCCTTCCCTGGCATCCCCACTATAACCGAAGGGTCGTTCCCATCCTCCTCCACCTCATTTTCCTTATGCTCCTCCTCCTCCTCCTCCTCCTCCTCCTCCTCCTCCTCCTCCTCCTCCTCCTCCTCCTCCTCCTCCTCCTCCTCCTCCTCCTCCTCCTCCCCCCCCTCCTGCTCCTCCTCGCCCTCAACCCTCCTCCAACCTGCTGGACAGTTTGCTCCACGTTGCTCCCCTCCTCTGGCCCCTCCTGGACGACCCTAGCATACGATTATTTCACTGCCGATGCCCTGCTCGTTCTGCTCCTCGAACGCGTCACGCAGACATGATGCGCACGTGCCCTCCAGTGTCGGGTGCCCGCGGCCCCAGCAGGGCACGACGCCGCCCTCCTCCGCTGCTCCCTCCGCCCGTGCGAGCCGCTGTGAGCCACCCGTCGACCGCCGCCCTGTGGCGGGGGGCCCGTCCGCGCGGGCCAGGGGTCGGCGATGCGGGTGGTTCTCGCGGTCGGCGGCCTACCTGGCTTCACGTGGACTGGGTCCGGGTCTGGCAGCGCCCGCGCCACAGGGACTCCAGGGCCCAAGGCCGCGGCAGCGGCGGCCTGGGCGAGGGGGAGAGGCAGCGGCTGGCAGGGGGGTCACGAGCGCCAAGTCGATCCTACCTGGTCGGCGAGTGGCCCTGCCAGGTTACCCGGCCTATGGGCTGCGCGCCGCCCTCCCCGGGAGATGCGCAGTCCTGCTTCCACAAGAAGTCGCGCCGACTGGGTGCGCCGCGTGCTGCCACGCGCTGCCCTCCCCCGACGGTGCGCGGCCCGTTGCCACGAGAAGCTGCCCCGACCGGGTGCCCCCAGATCTGCCGCGCGCTGCCCTCCCCGGACGGTGCGTGGCCTGATCCCCCAGGCGTTGCACCGATGAGGTGCACCTCCCTCCCCCCCTATGGGCCTCTCGGCCCCAGTTCTGCCCCGCTGTGCAGACCCACGCGCCGACGCTGCACAGCGGCGGGGCCCCCCGCGCCTGGCTCGGGCGCCGCCGGCGCTGGGCCGCGGGGCCCCGCCGCCCCGCCTGTTTGGGGGCTCCCTGCAGGCGCGGCGCTCCCCCTCCCTTGCCCCCCCCCCACTTCCTCCCCCGTGCCTTTCCCTCCCTCCCCTCTGCGCGCCGCCATGGCGCCGCTCGCTTCCGCTCCTGGCGCGCAGCCCCCCTGGTGGCCGAGCCGGCGGGCACTGCGCTGGGGCGCATCACCCCAGCGTGGCACCCAGTGGGTACGGCGTTTTGCTGTTGGCAGTCTGAAGCCTGGACCCCATCTCCGCGTCCACGTGTGCTACCCAGTACGTCCCCGGACGCCAGCACTGTCTGCGACTTGCCCGCGCCGGCGCGCTCTGTGCGGAACCCTTCCACGTCTGAGTGCCCCCGTGTCCTCCGCGGCCGCCCTGTCTGTCTCCTTGTCCCTCTCTTGCATGCCGGCCAGTTTGCGATTCGGTTGCCCCGAGTTGCCACACGCCGGAGCGGACCGCCTCCGCCTCGGCGCCGACGAACAAGTGTGTGTTGTATGTCTGTCTGTCTGTCTGTTTGTCTGTCTGTCCGTCTGTCTGTCTGTCTGTCGGTCTGTACGTGCCCTGACGCCCGAGTGTGCCTCACAGCCATGCTGCCATGTTGCCTCATTGCCGTTGTTGCTTGCCTTCGTGGTACAGCGGGGCTGCCATACCACGACTGTGCGCCGCAAGTGCTGCGCTTCGCTCCCTCGTGTTGCGCGCGCGCTGGCCTGGCCGCGCCCTGCCTGGCGTGCACGCGCGCGCGTCGCGCGCTTCCTGGCCCTGCCGCCCACGAATTCGGTGCGAGGCTATACGGGCCAGTCGCATGTCCGCGTCCGAGGGAGGGGACCCTTGGACGGCCTGTGAATGCCTTCCTCGCATGGTAAGGTGATGGCCTTGAATAAGGGAACCTTCGATAAGGGATCCAGGGTCTGGAGGCTGGTGGAACTCCAATCGAGGATTGGCCATGGAGATCACCGCCACCCTCATCAGACAAAGAACCCTACAGGGTCTGAAGCCTCCCGGGCACGCTCCTTATCGAACGCCCCCACCG